CAGTAATTAATGCAAAAGGAGGCCCAACAAAGTACTGAGGACATAATACAGTACATTAACACACTTTTCAGAAGGCCAACATGTGTTTAAGATCCTTTTTTTTATTGGTCACATGAAATATTCTAATTTTGTGAAATACTGGATTTGGGTTTTTTTGTCTTTAATCCATAATCATCAAAATTGAAACAAATAAAGGCTTGAAATATTTCACTTTGTGTGTAGTGAACTAATATAACATATAAGTTTCACTTTTTGAAACAAATTATTGAAATAAATGGACTTTTCCTCGATATTCTAATTTTTTGGCACATACCTGTAAATATGAAACTACAGCTAGACAGCAACTAGTTCACTTATTTTAAGAGCAGAAAGAGAACAGTCAGACACAAATGATTTCTGAAAAAACCATCAGCCATTTTTACACTTCCGTTTTTGTGTGAAATAAACAAACAAACTAAGAGATATTGAGCTTTAGAGGTGCTGGTAGCAGTGTTGTAGTACTCCAGAACTTGGACTTTCAGGACTCCTCACCGCTTGGACTCAGATTTGAGCATTGGCTGCATTCGGACTTGGACTTCTTTTTTTTTTGTAATATGCCATAATAATTTGGCATAAGATACTGACACTGATAATCACACTGTTCACTTCTAAGTAGTGTGTATTTGTGTGCTTATGAGTGCATTTGTTTGGTTATTGTGTCACACACAGTAAGTAAAAATGTCAAACAGTGAAAATAATTCAACAGTTTCTATGCAGGTCATATAGTAAAAATACCATTAACCTACACTTGATCTAGCTTGGTCCCATTGAAGGCGTGATGTTGAATTTCTCTGAAGCCATTTCCATAGAGCATCCTGGAACCAATAAATACGTTTACATAGAAAATAGCACAAATTAGAATTTTCTTCTCTTTAGGTTTGCCAGTTTACTGAGTGAAAATATTGTGATTGATGCTTCACACATACTTATTTCCCATTTTTATGGCTAGGTTTTGTCTGTCTGTGAAGTTCACAGCTGTTTTATAAATTAAAATTGCCATTCCTCTTCCCTCACTCCCAAATCTAAACCCACACACGTGTGAGTATCTGTGATCTTGTTTTTGCTTAGTGCCATTCAAGTGAATTCAGAGTGAGGATGTTTTCAAAGTGATGTCATTTTGGCTGGCCTCAACTGGTGGCTATTTTACTGTTTTGACTGAATTTAGGGATAAAGTGTAATCAAAGTGTGTGAGCAGTTTCTACTTTTTACATTTATGCAGTGGTGGAAAGTACATTCACTCAAGTACTGTACTTAAGTACAATTTTGAGGCATCTGTACTTTACTTCAGTATTTTAATTTTGTGCTACTTCACACTTCGACTTCACTATATTTTAGCGGCAAATGTTGTACTTTTATCTCCACTACATTTATTTGATAACTTTAGTTACTAGTTACTTTTCAGAATAAGATTAATTAAAAAAATATTGTATATTCATAAGACTTTATTTATCTCTGATGAAAAATTTGCAAGCTACCAGCAATAATTAAATTGTAAGTATATAAGCTAATTAAAACTAGCTCCCCCTTTACCAGCTGCAACCTTAAATGTGATCTACAGTAACAACGCATCAGTCATTATAATCCAATAATACGATATACAGTAATATGAAATGTGCCATAATGAGTACTTTTACTTTTACTACTTTAAGTATGTTTTGATGCTAATACTTTTGTATTTTTGCTGAAGTAACATTTTGAATGCTGGACATTTACTTACAGAGTATTTTTACCCTCTGGTATTGCTACTTTTACTTACTGTAAGTAAATTGAGTACTTCTTCCACCACTGCATTTATGTACAATATACACTCACCTGCCTGTTTATTAGGCACGCCTGTACAATTGTATGCAATTCAATGCAACACTTATGTGTTTATGAAGCTCAAAGTGTCTTAGTTTTGGGTGAAATTGTCATAAATGTATAAATTCAATTACATGTTTATTACTGAGGTCATAGTTAAAGGCGGTATTTTACTGGACTACATTATATTCAGAGGTGCTCCTAATATTCTGACTCTCTCATATATGTAGCTGGAGAGGACAAAAATATAGAGAAACCTGAAGTGTTCCATTGAAGTGCATACAATTGAACAGGTGTACCTAATAAAGTGGCCAGTGAGTGCATGTGTGCTATGCATGTATGCAATATCTCACACTGTCAGCACATCGCTGGTGATACCACGGAATGAGTTGGCCGGGATCTCTGTGATGTAAGGATGATCCACAATTTCCCTGCAAAGGAAGACATTGAATACAGAGGAGTCGTATTGTAAACAAGCGCCTCTCACTGGAAAGTGGCCGAGGGAGGAATGTGGAATGTATTCTCAAGTATGGGTAGGATCATTAAATTAGATAAAGCAGCTGTATGAGAGAGTGACAACACAGACGTGAAGATGTCTTTTACTGTATATAGTTCATTTCACATGGACATGCAGAGGGTTTACATGTTTAGAATGAGATGCTTATTGACTTAAATACACAGATGAACACAGAAGTACACAGAAAGCACAAACTCTGCTAATGCATTTTGCAGCTTATTATGACCTGGATGACTGAGAATCTGCACAGACATGCTGCTAATGCATTATTAATGTAATCAATTCACTCTGTTTTTGCTACTTTTATTTAAAATCATAGTATCAATTATATACAAAGTCATGAGTGAAGTGGTCTTGTTAGTGCTGTGCTGTATTGCAAACAAAAATCTTGCTACTTGCCTGGAATAACAAACATGTAAGAAGTGATTTTCCTCTCATCTTTTCATTCCTCCTACTTTATTACTTTGTCAAAACCATGGAAACCTTTGCAAGAATACAAACAGTGCAAAGTTCTGAGCGAGAAAGGGCTGACAAAGGCCAATTAACAGTTTTGTTTGTTTATTGTATTATACAAATAACTTGTGATGGTAAAATGCTACAAGCATAGCTGGCTAAATGCTGATTAGTGTGCTAATAAAGTCACTTACAGTATGAAGTTCATATCATTAGAGTGGATGTTGCTCAAGTCAGGGAAAGAAGTGAGACCAGTGTTGAAAATTCCCCTGAACAGAACAGAGACAGATAGTTAGAATATAAAGAGGGCGCTATAGAGAGTACACAGGCTCTTATAAATATTAAAGGTTATACTCTTGCTGTGAACCTTTTATGGTATTATATCATAGTAGACAACAGTGTAATGCTAAAACATTGAGAATATTGCTGTTGTAAAAACAGTTCCAAAAACTGGACTTGGCCTTCATACTTGCAAACATTATTGTTCACAGTGAACTGTATCATCTGCATCATATTCTGGCCTGTTATGATGTAGGCTGGGGCTTCTTAGAAAGGGCTCAGGTGATTGGGACGTCATGGTAAACTACTAAACTTGGAGTTGGAACTCTGGGAGGAAACAGCAGCTTATACAAACCCAATTTCCAGAGAAGTTGCAATAAAAACTCAAATCTGTGATTTGTTAATTGGCTCGAACTTCCTGACAATTCTCTCACGGAGATTGGCACAAAGCGATGAGCCACGGCTCATCCTTGATCATAAGGACTGAGCTGGTGTATGCTCCTTTTATACCCAATCATGATGCCCTCACCTGTTACCAATTAACCTGCTCAGTTCTTCAAGAATCTCCCAGAGCGATCTTACTGGAATATTCTATGAACTGTTCCGTTTTATTTAGCCTTTGTCGCAAATATTTTTTGAGTGCATTGGAGGCACCAAATTCTAAATTTGTTTATACTGTATTTACAAAATGCAATTATGTTTTGGTGAAAACATTGAAAAACTTTTATTTGTTACTTAAAGGTTCAAACAAATGAACAAATCACAGATTTATATTTTTATTGCATTTTGAGAAATGTTCCAACTTTTCTGGAAATGGGCTTTGTAATTTTCAGTTAAGCATTTACATGACAATGACATCTGTTATTTTGAGGCAAAGTATGTTTGATTTCCTCCGCGTTCAGTGTGTGCAGTCACTTTTCTATATTCTTCTATAGCACTGTATTAAATTCAAATTAAGCATGATTCAGTCATGACTGTACTGACATGCATATGCTATAAACAGATCACAACTTTAAAAGTATTGCTCGACTCAAGCACTATAAATACACATCCACTTGTTCTGGGTTGCCATAATGCGACATACAATAACATACAATAAAAATACACACAAGTATTTGAGGTTTGGGAGATTCTTAAAGGCTTCTGGGTCAACGTAGGTCAGACTCTTTGCATTGCGTATCTCTCTGGAAGAATAAATAGACAAGAAGAAGATGCATTTACATATAAACTATAGCCACTATAAAATAATTTGCAGACTCATTTTGAAACACACATTGTGCAGTCTTAAAACCTGCTGACAGAACAGAACATGATGCATGTCAGCGTGCAAGAGTAGGAAAACTCAGCCAGGACTGGAAGTTGAGTCCAATTAGTTTTTTAGTAGTGTGTTTACTCTGGTCTGCCCTGGGCTGGACTGAACACCTCTCCACTGTTTGAAGCTGTGTGCTGCTCTGGTATGTGTGTCCTGGCCAGTCTTTCAAACCACACAGCCCAGCAGATAGATGTGGTCAGGCCAGGGGAAGTCTGAGTGGGAGAGGCTCATCTTCTCAGTGCTGCTGTGTCTTCAAAACTATAGCTTAAACCAAAAGGTCAACCAAACAGTGTCAGTGAGAATGTGATTTCCATTTATTTGGATTTTCTATAGATAAAATTAATGTTTCTACAGGCGGTACAGTACGTTCTTCAGCCGCAGTGACTTTAGCTGGTCATATGTGAAAAGGTTTGCATTCTTAACTCTGGCCTTACTAAAAAGTACAGTCAAGCCAAGGTAAACAGTGGCATCATTACATAGGAAAAGGCCTGCATACTCATACAAACATAAAGGTGCTGTTTGAATACAAAATATCCCAAAGGGAGACAAAGTGTGAAAGAGCTCACAAGACAATGAAGTTGTGCTGATGATGGCTGTATAACCAAAACCTTCCCTTTGCTTTTACAATGTTTAAGCATTGTTAGATTTGTAAGCTGAGGCAACTATGGCACAGGAGGTAGAAAGGTCATCTGCTAACCAGAGGGGTGGTGGACAGCTTCTCCAGCCCAAGTGTGTCCTTGAGCAAGACATTGAACCCCAAGTATTTACTCAACTCCTCCACTTGAGGCGTTGAGTAAATTCATTCATTCATTCATTCATTTTCTACCGCTTGTCCCTGAACGGGGTCACGGGGGGGGGGGCCGGGGCCAATCC